GTTGTGTGACTCCTCAAGAGCCAAACGAAGACCACGATCTTCCTCAAGAGCATTGGAAAGATCCAAAATCTCATCGGCATAGTCACGACTATGCCCTTCCATCTTGGAGATGGTGTATTCATGAGCCTCGATCATGTCATTGGCCTCACCAAGTTGTTCCAAGAGAGCAACAAAGTGCTTCTTGGATTTTCCCTTGAGTTTGCCCATAAAGGCCTCAAACTCGTTAGCCTCCACATTAGCTCCCTCAAGTTCATTAATGCTACCCGTTGGGGAAGGATGATTAATGATGGTAGTTTTGATGTTGGAGGTTACCTTGTTGGTGGCTTTAGCCATGAGGCACTTGGCGGTGATGCTCTCGTTGGGTGAGTCGAAGAGAGACACCCGTGACGTTGTTGCAATGGCAACGGAGGCCATGGCAACCGACTCATCATCTTCATCATTGTCATAATCCTCATTGTACTCTTCTTGCACAACCAAAGCCTTGGGAGGAGTCTTCTTGGTGAAGTTGTTCTTCTTGGGGAACGACTTGGCCTTGTCCTTTCAGATGAGTTTGCCACCATTGTCTTCCCTCTTCTCATACGGGCATTCCACAACGAAATGACTCACATTGCCGCAATTGTAGCAAGTCCTTACACGTTGCTTGCCCCTTGTGCCACTCGAGTTGTTTTTGCTAAAGTTGGGCCTCGGGTTTTTCTTGCTCCAAAATTGCCTTGAAGCAAGTGACATGTGTTCATGATATGCATACTTCGTATCTTCGGGGTTGCTCTCCTCTTCTTCCTCTTATTCTTCTTCCATGGTGAGCTTGGCCTTCAATGAAAGGTTAGGCTTCTTTGCCCGTTGAGAACGGAGCACCGCATTGTCGGTGGTCTTGTCCAAAATGTTCATGGCCACAAACTCATCCAACACTTAGCTTGAGGTTAAAGTGTGGAAGTCCGGTCTTTCACGAATGACGGAGGACATGGCCTTGTGGTAGGGCATCATTGCCTTGAGGAATTTGCGCTTGATCCAATTTTCATTCGTGTCCTTGCTCCCGTGATCTCGTAGTGAGATCGCGAGTTTGGTTACTCTCCGATAAAGCCGTCTCCACGGTCATGACCTGATGGTGTGTCCGACCGGAGTTGATCGAGTGTGTTGGGTAAGTTGGTGCATCCCTACAGGGAAGTATTATCTATTCGAATAGCCGTCTCCACGGTAACGGATGCTCGGAGTTGTATCCCGATCGATACAGCTAGAGCTGGATGTTGAGGCATGTAATGGCAATGATGGCTCCGGGATTGCTTTCTCGCAGGGAGTCGAGGAAGTGATCTTTGGGTGATGTTACAACATACTTTAATATTATAGTATGATACTCTTATCTCTTCTGATGTTGCAAGATGCTCTAAGATGCTAGTCTTCGATAGGCTAGGCTTTCCCCTTCTATTCTGGCATTCTACAGTTCAGTCCATAGATACTACCCATTTCATTGATACCGATGCATATGTAGTGTAGATCCTTGCTAGCGAGTACTTTGGATGGGTACTCACGGTTGCTTTGCTCCCTCTTTTCCCCTTTTCCATTCATCTCGGATGTCGCAACCATATGGTGGAGCCTATGATCCAGACGCCGCCGACGACAACTACTACTACCCCGAGGGTGCCTACTATTATGTGACGGACGCCGATGACCAGGAGTAGTTAGGAGGCTCCCAGGCAGGAGGCCTTGCCTTTTCGATCGTTGATACTTTTGTGCTAGCCTTCTTAAGGCAAACTTGTTTAACTCATGTCTATACTCAGATAATGTTGCTTCCGCTGACTCGTTTGTATTCGAGCCCTCGAGGCGCCTAGCTTGTAATATAAAGCTTGTATTATTTTAATTTGTCTCTAGATTTGTGTTTTGATATATTCCCGTGAGTCCTTGATTTTGATCGTACACATTTGCGTGTATGATTAGTGTACGATTGAATCGAGGGCGTCACAAAAGGATTGGGCTACCTTGCTGCACTCTTTGTTACCGTTACCGTTACTTGCTCGTTACAAATTATCTTGCTATCAAACTACTCGCTACTTATAATTTCAGTGCTTGCAGAGAATACCTTGCTGAAAACTACTTGTCATTTCCTTCTGCTCCTCGTTGGGTTCGACACTATTACTTATCGAAAGGACTACGATTGATCCCCTATACTTGTGGGTCATCATACCGCCATCAGGGAGACCAAGAGTGTGGACATCTGCCCTGAGCTCTACGGCGCCGTCATGGAGCAGATTGGCTTCAGCCTAGAGGCTCTCATGGTGGCTCTCAGCCACCTGCTGGACAACAAAGCCCAGGGTGTTGGGTTTGTTGCCATGGGAGCAGACCATAGGGTGCTCTGGCTGAGGATCTGGCTGGGCAAGCACTACTACTAGTGTTGCTTCTGCTGGTGGCGATGGTGCGCATGATCCTCGACGGCGATGGCTACAAGACTGACGATGATGAGACGATGTATATTTTGTGTAGTTAGTGCTTGAAAACAATCTTGTGGTCTGTATATTTTTGGTGAGGTGGTATAAACTAACCCTTCACGGTGATCCCCATGATGATCACGAACTTGCGGTGGTAGGATTACAACCTCTTTTGGATGTGGTGGTAGGATGACACCAAAGTAGTGGTAGGTTGAACTTGCTATGATCATGCATACTTACTAATGCTCTTCTGCTCCATTGCCTGCTCCTATAGTTCTTCATTGCTTGTTGTTTGTGTGTTGCAATGCTTGTTGCTTGAACTTATTGCTCGTTTGCACTATCAGGGCAAGTGGTATGTCGTGTTCGAAGGTAGGGTTCCAGGGGTTTACAGTTCATGGGAAGCTTGCAACAAACAAGTTTCAGGGTACGGCGACAACAACCACAGAGGAGGGTTTAAGACTAGGCAGGCGGCAAAAGATGTTTACTCCAAGTATATGCGAGAGCATTCATGCAGCAAGGTTGGGGTTGACAAGGTGGATGGGCCGTTAGGGCTAAAGAACTTCATCATCTTCGTCCAATTCATCGCCATAGCAATGTTGTAGCGTTAATGTGCTCGGTGTGAATTTGTGTAAGGTGTAATGATATTGGTAAGCTCACCAAGTAGAGTACAAGGTGAGCACAACTCTATGCTCGTATGTAAACAAACAACGTGCACTCGCGTGAGCACATACAATGCGAGCAACCAAACACGGTGCATAGAGGCGTCGCTACGATGCAAGAAAAGAACATGCAGGCAACCAATCAACATGCAGATGTTAGTTTTTTGCCTGCATCTGCTCAATCTGATCCAACTGAAACAAATATGCAAATGAGAAAAAACGATGCAAGCAACCAAACATGCTCTATATCAATCACGTGCGTCGTATCTTCCGTGGCTGGTGGTGGGCCGACCGTGAACTGTGAACGGCAACATGTGTCGACGTGGGGACAGCGAGCCCGGATATGGCCAATGGATAGAGATATGGGATGTGGTGCATGCGTTCTTGTGGTGATGACTTTCCTGCTTGCCCAGCCTCCAGACAGAGATATCTTTGTATTTCTCTCTGTTTTAATTCGACGTGGAAGTTCGAAAGGGAAAAAAAAGAAACAGGAAAATGGACGTGGAGGAATTAATAGATGATATTGTGTGATGCAACGTCCATGGAATTAGAATCACGCGTCCGTCACCGTTGGCTTCGTCATCTTTGATCTCATCGTCGAGTTCATTTGGCACCATTGCATTTATGTGGTGATAGGTATTGAGCGGCTTGAAAACGGAAAGCTAAGCCCCGTTGCTATCCGCAGTGAAAGTTTAGCCATTCCTCGAGTTGATTAAAAGAATTTGTCAAAAATAAACGACCTTTTTAGACTTGTACATAAAAATTTGAAGTGTGAGTAAGGTGTCAATGTCGATTTCTATTATTTCATGTCCATCTGTTTTAACTCACCAACCACGAACCACCTAGCCTGTCCCAGTGGAACCACAAATGGAAGGAGACAAACAACGCAAAAAATGATGTAGATAACCAAAAGCAGCCCAAGAGTCTGGAGTTATGGTGTAGGCTTCTAAAACGTGTGCATGTGATCTGCGCTTTAGGTAGGCCGCATCGGTTGTTGATCCCGATACGTTATATGGATGGATCAATGACAACACCGATTTTAGATATGAAGAGTGAGAGCACTCCACATTATCGAGTCTATAGGTATGAGTGGTGGCTTCAGGTGGATTGATATATGTTCTTGTCAGACCTTTACGGAATAATTAACAAAGATGGCTGCATGCATCGATTGATGCAGAGGCCGAGGATTTGACCTCCTTTTCTAAAATAAAATAATAATAATAATAATAATAATAATAATAATAATAATAATAATAATAATAATAATAATAATAATAATAATAATGAGTCTGGAGTTATATGTTGTGACTAGTACTAATTCTTAGTGCAAACATCACCTACAATTTATACCAGATCAACTGAATGCCACAAATGCCATCAGCTGTAATGTCTTAAGAACCACCTAAACTTTCATATAATCATCGTTCGAAAATATTTAGCAAAATCGGTAGGCCGTGATGATCTAACCTGACCACTCAAGCCGCCATTTAACAACAATTGTGTATATATACTTATCTGACAAGTGACTAGTGCAGTGTAACCTTTTTTTACTGTAACTACTGCAGTGTAACCTATTCTATGTCCTATCCATATGGTTAAAAAAAGGGCAAATCAGTTACAGCTTTATACAGTTCCCTTCGTTCGAAAATACTTGTCATCAAAATGGATAAAAAGAGATATATCTAAAACTAATATACATCTAGATACATCCTTTTATTCATTTTGATGACAAGTATTTCCGGACGGAGGGAGTATATACTTGTACCTAGTTTGTGTAGAAGGAGCGTCAGTGGTATTATGCAGCCTGGTAGAACTGTCGACTGCAGCAACGCGTGCTTTACCTGCAGCGAAGAATGTGTTCCTTAAATTCTTTGTTTAACTGCTCTCTTGACAAAGAATTCCAGACTTGTGGTGGGTTCGGCTTTCAGCTAGCTGCTGCGACCGTGCATCCTCTTATATGAATGATCTCAGATATGAAGCGCCTCAACCGCTCTCCAGCACGCCCAGGCCTGACAACGTTAATGTCGCCCCATTCCGAGCACGCCTCCACATCCCCGCCTCCTTGCTTTTCACCCAAATTCCGGCACCACACACCAGGAACCAACTGGGCCGAAGAACGGTTCAGTAGCTCATCATCAACCTTCTTCAGCACTGGTGCTTCCTCCACAAACCGCCTTGCGAAGGCAGCGCTGCTGTTCACCATGTTATCGAGATGCGTTTCATCAAGAATACGCGGCTCCAGCCCAGGAGGATCGTCCCAAACAAAGAAACGTAGATCGCCGTTGACAGTGGTGTTTCTAAAGTCAGATGAACTGCATATGACAGTCTGGAAATATGATTCCATGGAGTAAGCAGCGTTGGCAAAGTACATCAGTAGCCTGCGGGGGAGGTTGTCCCAGCCATGCACGCAATGTTCAGTGAAGTTCCTACTCAGAATTACCCATGGAGAGCCTGCGAGATAGGAAATAAAACATTCAGAAATGCATATATGTGTACTACGTATGTGTAATACGTACTGTCAAGTATAAGAATTAATGGGGGTGCCAATTGTAAGTTAAGTAAGTGAATGGGAACTTAAATATAACTCCAATGAGCACGTGAACTTTCTTATATTTGAACACAAGTATCCTAATTACATGGATCGTCCCTAACTTTCAAGAAATACTCCCTCTAAAGAAATATAAGAGTGTTTAGATCACTATCACTACTTTATTGATCTAAACGCTCTTATATTTCTTTACAGAGGAAGTACTAGCAAATGGGTACATGCTTCTCATGTTCGACCAACTTAGATTGTCAATGTTGCCATTAAAAACTTAAGCTGTGAATATTTCTTAGAATTTCACTACAATTAATCACTTTACATTATGGCATCAAAAACAGAGGCAACGACTCGTGATAGTAACAAAATCTTAGTCCTTTTCTAAATCACTATCAAGTCGGATGTGCATGGCTAAAATATGTTATAACATATTTTGCTATGTATCAAACGTTTAATTTGGCCAAAATATTCTTAATGTACCTCTGTTTTGTTTCCTTAACTTATATCACGGTGTGATAGTTCCTGAGTTCTCGCGTGGATTTATTCGTACTCAGTACTCGTGCAGGATTTTTAATCACCCACAATTTCTTTCAGCATTTTCCCGACACATCAATGGCAAAGTATCGGCAGCTTTCTTCCTTTATCTATGACCATCATGAATCACGTTTTCAATGTCTCCAGCAGGAAAGAAAATGAAGAATTGGTTGTAGAAAATTGTACTGATACAATTTGCTTTCGATTTTTCATCTTATAAACAAATTCAACTTCAATAGAAAAAGTTAGGGAAGCCCGAGCTCTTTGGAATGCTTATAGGACACAAAGTTATATATTAAATATTGGAATTGCTTTTCTTATGTGGACCGATAAGTTCTTTATAAATGAATTTGATTATCATAAACATTAGTTATATATACTTCAAGATAATTAGGGAGATGCACTATTTTCTCTTGGTGGTTATAAGCATAACAGCTCCTTGTGAAGGATGAGGGGACTAGATGGCGGAAGTAGTTTGACAAGTTGTTCAATGGAGAGAATGGGAGCTCTACCATTGAGCTGGATGACTCCTTTGATGATACCAACAGACGTCCTGTGAGATGAACCCAAGAGTCTAAGGTCAGGGAGGCTTTAAAAAGGATGAAAGGAGACAAAGCAATGGGCCCTGATTCTATCCCCATTGAGGTATGGAGAGGCCTTAGAGACATAACGGTAATACGGCTAACTAAGCTTTTCAACCTCATTTTTCAGGCAAACAAGATGCCAGAAGAATGAAGGCGGAGTATATTAGTACCAATCTTCAAGAACAAGGGGTGTTTAAAGTTCTACTGATTACTGTGGAATTAAGCTGATGAGCCATACAATGAAGCTATGGGAGAGAGCCATTAAGAGGAATGACAATCGTGACCAAAAATCAGTTTGGTATCATGCCTGGGAGGTCGACCGTGAAAGCTATTTTCTTGGTACGACAACTTATGAAGAGATACAGGTAGCAAAAGAAGGACCTATATGGTGTTCGTTGACTTGGAGAAGGTCTACAATAAGATACCGCGAAATGTCATGTGGTGGGCCTTGGAGAAACACAAAGTCCCAACAAAGTATATTACCCTCATCAAGGACATGCACGATAATGTTGGGACAAGTGTTCGAACAAGTGATGACAACACTAATGACATTTTGATTAAAATAGGACTGCACCAAGGGTCAACTTTGAGCCCGTATCTTCGATATCCCATGGTGTATGCTCTTTACGGATGATGTGGTGCTACTCGATGATTGTCGGATGGGGGTTAATAGAAGAGACCTTTTACGGTACACTCTAACATATATTAGCCGTCTATTCCATAGATTTTAGCGGATGAGATTGATCTATACTACTAAATCCTGTGAGTAGTATATGGCACCCAAGACGAGTAGTATATGGGTTATAGGGGTAGAATCGGGAGAATAAAAAAATCCCACAAATTATGGTTACTTGACATCAATTTATTCTAATTATCAAATATTTCTTTACCCTAACAAAGACACTGAGAATCTTCATATTATCAAATATTTCTTTATCCTAACTCTTTAGTCGCATACGCGTGTATATGAGCTCGTTTCTTGGCATCCTAATAGTTCTAGTGACCCAGCATAGTTTGCATCGAATATCTAATTAATAATGCTAACGAATATTAATCGAAAAGTGGTGAGGTAGTGCCGGATAGCACAATGGCAAGTTAGGTTCGCATACTACCAAGCTAGAACTATGAGGAACACCAAGCGATCGGTTGCAAGGCCTTGGCGATCGTGAGGGCCATAAGTGAGGGCGTGAGCATAGTGCCGAGATTTCAAGGGGGCGATCGAGAGGAACAGGCGGAGAAGACGAGCATCGTAGCAATGTGCCCATGTTATACGAAATGGGTCTTAGGAGAGAAAAAATATCCCTATGATTTAGACATTATTGCACTTACCAAGAAAAAGCCTGATTATTTTAAACATTGATGCACTTACCAAAAAAAAGCCGGTTGTAATTTGACCGTTATGCCTTATAATATCAGCGGTTAGATTAAACCTAAACTACTCCTCTTCCCTAGGAGTAAGATGTACCGTAAAATTCTCTAATAGAGAGTTAAAGCTTTAGAGACAAACTTTGGAATCGAAAGGTTTTAGGCTTAGTAGAATTAAAACCGAGTACATGAGATGCGATTTCAATACTACTAGGCACGAGGAGGAGGTTAGCCTTGATGGGAAGGTGGTATCTCAGAAGGACACCTTTTGACATTTGAGGTCAATGCTGCATAAGGATGGTGATATCAACGAAGATGTGAGCCATGGAATCAATGCTGGATGGATAGCTTTTGGCGTTCTCTTTGACAAGAGAGTGCCACAAAAGCTAAAAGGCAGGTTCTATAGGACGGTTGTTAGAGATATATTTGGTATGTAGAGATTGTTTGGGATTAGATAGGAATTGTTTCCATCTTATCTCTAGGAGGCGTCTTGTCCTCCAAGTCTTGTACTCAATATATATCCGCCTTCGAGGCTCAATAATACATCTATCATATTTCGCAGCAATCCCTCTCTCTCCTTTATAACATGGTATCAGCCTTATCTCGATCCTAAACCCTAGCCGTCGCCGCTTCCGCACCCACGCGCCACCCTCGAGGCGGTCAACCTCCATGACCGCCGCTGGGGCCGCGCCGCCCGTACCTAGGGTTCGTCTGCCGGTCGTGTTGGCCGGCTGCCCTAGCGAGTCCTTTTCTCGAGCCCTTGCTCCGGGTTTTTCTCTCCCACCGGTCACCTTGATCGACGTTTTTCTTTTTGGTTTTCTGATCTATGCTTGATCGGTTTGCGTCGCCCGCCGCCGCCATTGACCCTCGCGCGCCCCTACTTCAACCCCGGCGTGACCAGCCAGCCTCTCCTTCGACCCGACGTCCTATGCCAGCCGCTCCGCCCTGCTTCGACCGGGACTCCTACATCGCCCCGACCCGGCGGCCTCGCGCCATGCGTCGACCCATCATAGCCGTCGTTCGCGCGCCGGCCCGCCCATCGATCCACGCCATCCGCCTCTGCCGCGTCTGCCTTGCCGACCTCATCTCTGGCTTGTCTGGCCGGCTGCCTTAGGCTCTTCGGCTGCCTCAACTCGGGTGCCGCTGCTACATTGGTCGCTCGGGCCTCGCTGCCCGGGCGCCGGCGCTATTTTGGCAGCCCGGGTGCTGGTGCTGACGCGCTCGTCCGCACGTCGTCCCATGTCGTCCGTCATTGTCAACGTCACCTTGGACTCCGCCGCCACCCCGCCTCCACCGAGCGGCGTCCCCGACCTCGCGTGCGATCGGCTTGATCACCTGCTTGCCGCCACGATCCGCCTCATCTACGCCACGCAACCGACCTGGCCCATCGGTTGCGCGTGCCTCTCCAGGTCCCATGAAGATCGTCCCGGAGTTCAGCGCGCCCCTCCACCGATCGAGCAATGGGCTACTGCTGTGTTGCCCCGTCAGGCCGCAGCGCCGCCGCCCCGTGGTTCTCCCTCGCAGCTGCATCAACTCGCACGTCGTTGCTGCGTCGCCCCTTCGGGCCGTAGTGCCGCAATACGCGGTCCTAGCCGCCGCCTCGAGGCCATCCTCGCGGTTGCACCATCCCGTGCTCAGCCGCTGCACCGCCCCTTCAGGTTGCAGCACCGCGGCCCGCGGTCCCCGCAACCGTCCCGAGGGGTGCACGTCCCCGCACGTCGACCTCTCGTGGTATGCACCGCGCCACCTCCCTTGGCACGGGAACGCTACCGTCCACGCCGATCTTCACCACGCCTCGGGTTCCTCGCCTACTTCGAGCACCGCCGCCGCTCTTCTTTGGCCGCCACCGCTGCTACCCCCATAGCCGCCGACGCCGCCCGTCCACCTCCTTCGTCTTCGTCCAGCACCAGCCCGTTGCCAACGTCGCCATCATCTAGCCCGACCACTTCGTCTACTCCGGCCACCGTTGATGACATCGGCCCCCACGCCGATTGGCACCACAACCGTCGTCGAGTCTCCTTCTCTGCTGGCCCTCCGACTTCTCCGACATGGCGTACAGCTCGTGCAGGTCCCTCGTCTACGCATGCCCAGTGCTGGCAACACCGATGCGTGCCTTCGTCCACGACGTGTCCCCGGGCCTGGCAAGCCTGGTGTGGCGCTTCGTCAACTTCATCTTCGTCCGTCTACACATGCCCAGTGCTGGCAACACCGATGCGTGCCTTCGTCTACGACGTGTCCCCGGGTTTGGCAAACCCGGCGTGACGCCTCGTCAACACCGTCTTCTTCCCAGCGCACCACTTCTTCGACACTACTGCGCCCATGACTAACTCGGCGCCTCTTTGCGCCCGCGGCTCCACGACGACTTCCTCGACACCGGCTACCCCGACTCGACATCGACCACGACATTCTTCACACGGCTACCTCGACCACGACTACACCACCCTACGCTCTCGGCTACCTCGACATCGGCACAAAGGATTATCATCCGCTTGAGCAACTCGTCGGCTTCCTCTACAGTCAATGCGTCTGCAACGCGACACCGTCCGCGACGCTCCCGCTATGACTACGGGGGGATGTCAGCCCATCGGCTGCTATTCTCTCCAGTCTGACCGTCCGCGACGCTCCTGTTGTTCGCGACGCTACCGATACGACTGCGGGGGGATGTTAGAGTTATATTTGGTATGTAGAGAATGTCCGGGATTAGATAGGAATTGTTTCCATCTTATCTCTAGGAGGCGTCTTGTCCTCGAAGTCTTGTACTCAATATATACTCGCCTTTGAGGCTCAATAATACATCCATCATATTCCGCAGCAATCCCTCTCTCTCCTTTCTAACAACGGTGATTCCACCCGCAATGTTGTATGGCGTTGAGTGTTGGCCGACTAAAAGGAGGCATGTTCAACGGATGGGGGTAGCAAAAATGCACATGTTGAGATGGATGTGTGGCCTCACAAGACAGGATCTGGTCCGGGATGATGATATACATGATAGAGTTGGGGTAGCACCTACCGAAGAGAAACTTGTCCAACATCGTCTGAGATGGTTTGGGCATATACATGTAGAGCACCAGAAACTCCAGTGCATAGCTGTGGTTAAAGCGTGCAGATAATGTCAAGAGAGATCAAGGTAGACCAAACTTGACTTGGGAGGAGTCCGTAAAGAGAGATCTGAAGGACTGGAATATCACCAAAGAACTAGCCATGGACAGGGGTGCGTGAAAGTTAGCTATCCACGTGTCAGAACCATGAGTTGGTTTTTGAGATCTTATGGGTTTCAGCTCTAGCCTACCCCAACTTGTTTGCGACTAAAGGCTTTGTTGTTGTTTGTGTAAACATAATAGCTCCACCCAATCATCACGTGATTTGACTTTATGGTTCCTTTTTTGGTGCGAAACTATGGTTCCTTCTTTCAATCCCCAAGTACTCTCGATTTTTCTATTGATACGTGCCAAAATATAGTTTCATGAGCAAAATCTTCAATATAAACAAGATCCTAGGTTGAAACTTAATTTGTTATGTTTTCATTTGAAAATTTGCTGGAGGTGTTACTATAGAGTTTAATCATCGGATTTGCTAAATCTCATCTAAATGATATTTAGCTATGTCTCAACTAAATTTTGCACTGTAGCTCCCAGATTCGTACTGCTTATCACGCATGAGACAGTTTCAGGATGTTGCTGCGAGGTTTGTGTTTTTTGCCTGGGCCATCATCGGTTTTGATTCGTTTCGATGTCTTTCTTTACTGGGCTGGGTGGAGATTTACCTACCTGGGCCATTGTATTTTTTGGTTGCCTGCGTATGCATTCTTTTTTCTGTTTGTTTTTGTTTTCCTTGAAAATGTGAGAGAGTACAAAAAAGTAAGAACCAGAACCACTTTCCATGCCCCGTGAAGCCCTTGACCCATCCTCTAATCACATTCTCCGATCCAGTTGCGTGTCTACTCTCAACACAAAATTTGTCCAGATTTTTTGTGCCTGTGTATTTTCTTGTGTTTCTTTGTGCAGGTCAATCCAAATGGTCAAGGGACCTAGTTTGTATGGGGAAAAAACATGGGGGTTTAGGGGTGCCCAACATCAAAGATGTTAACCTTTGCCTCCTTGGGAGCTGGGTAAAGAGATACATCAAAGATGAAGGCAAGCTTTGGAAACAAATAGTGGACAAAAAATACATCCACAACTCCCCTAACATCTTTGCTAGTAAACCCCAAAACCCTTCCAGATTTTGGCAAGGGGTCATGTGGGCTGCTAAGGCTTTGAAATTTGGATATAAATGGGTGGTGGGAGATGGACAGAAGATCAGATTCTGGGAAGACATCTGGTTTGGTACATCCCCCCTCTCAGTCCAATTCTGGCCGCTTTACACCATCTGCCACCAACAATGCTCTACCATAGCTGAGATCTGGGACAGCTATGAGATTAAACTCACCTTCAGGAGGGTTTTCACACCTGCTATGATGGAGCATTGGTATGCCCTAGAGCAAATCATTAGGAGTACCCTGCTTCGAGAGGAGGGTGACTCACTCATTTGGCAATATGAAGCCAAAGGGGAATACACCACTAGTTCCCTTTATAGTATCATCAACTTTAGGGGGGTCCAGCCTGTGTATATACCAGCGGTGTGGTCAATAAAAACCCCACCCAGAGTCCAGGTGTTTTTGTGGCTACTCTCCCACAACAAGCTGATGACAAAAGACAACCTGGCCAAGAGAGGCATAGAAAAAGCCCCAGAATGTGTTTACTGCTCTGAAAAAGAATCCATTACACACTTATTCTTTGAATGTGTGGTGGCCAAGCAAATCTGGGTGGAAATATCAGAATTTTTTGGTGTAGAATTAGGATCTAACTACTTATTAATTGCTAGATTTTGGCCAGCTGACAAGAAGCATATCGCTTTAAATTCAGTCTGTGCATGTGTTCTATGGGCTATGTGGAAAAATAGAAATTCACATGTCTTTAACAATGCTATATGGACTGATGTGAAACAGATATGGAGGAGAGTGCTAGGACAATTCAGGAGATGGCTGATCTTGTTCGAAGGACCTGCATTGACAAAACTGGAGGCGTTCGTTCAGAAAATCTCCTGCATCCTAGAAGCCCCACTCCAGATTCTGGCAGGTTAACTGTCGAGACGAAAGACACTGAAGGTGGCTTCGATCGCTCGCTTCTCTTCTCCCGCTCGAAGTCCGATGACGCTCCAATCACAAAGGGGCCAGCATACCAAATCTCTCCACCAAGAAGCCCTCGCGAAAGCACCTGCAAGGCGACGCTGCTCAGCCCGGTCACCCCTCTGGAGCTGGGTGGATCGCCAGCTAAACCATGGAAGAAGCTCAAGGTGGTGCCCACTACAGAAGTGGCAAAGGAAATGGTGTCGCTGGGGACTGCATAATGCGGCGCGCTAACTGAAAAGTGGAAGAAATCTGGTCTCCAGGGAAAAAGGAGGGGAGAGAGGTGTTGGTTATTACAGATTCGTGCGCGAAAATGTAATAATGAAAACTCTGTTTAGACTTCTATTGTAGAGCTGATCTGCTGTCTTTCAGCTGATTAGCTATCTTTGTAGTGATGTTACTTTCCTGAACATGCTTGCCATGACTGTAATGGTGTTATTTCCTGGTTTCATCTATTAAATGGGGCCGGGGGGCTCAAAACCCCCTTTTCTCTAAAAAAAATGGTCAAGGGACAAAACAAAATAGAAGTAAAGACCAAAAAACAGCCTAATGAAATACAAGCACGCATCGAACCAGCCCAATTGGAACGCACACATGAATCAAGAGGAACAAAAAAAGTAGTGGCAAAGACAAAGGCCGAGGGGAGGCCATGGGAGTTGCGGCTTTATATATAAAGCGGGGGGTAAGCCTGTTTCATGAGTTGGGAACGGGAACTACAAAACAGTGATGATGTCATATTAGATGTGTTATGTCACATCTAGATGAGCCTTAACAGACCCTTTAATTATTATTTTCCTTCTAAAGAAGTGTTTGTATGCTTATAATTCTTAACTCATAATGTCTGATTCAGCATGAGGGCTAATCCTAGTGATCTTTATTTAATCAATAGCACATAAAAGAACAATCGGTTGGTGGCTTTGTTCCAGATTTAATAGCACCGGGGTTTAATCAAACATATTTGAATCACTGATGTCCTACTATATTTCAGAAATGTTTTAAATACCGAAAAAGACCTGAACTAGAAACTATGTTTGCACACACCTGTGAATATCTTGAATGCCTCAGGCATTTGTCTTGTTTCTGTCGCAGGAAAGGGCTGGGTATTCTTGTCCATATATAGACTTGCGTCGACAATAAGTTTTTCAAACCTTTCATGCCTGAAAGGGCCAAGGAAAATGTTTAGGGAACGAAACAGGATATAGCGAGCTACACTCTAGAAATTTTTCTGCTTACAGAACTCACTCTTTCCATCCGAGGTTACTTGTGTGATCAATAAAGTTGAGGTGCCTTGGTACAGAAGAAAATGCATAAAAGAGATCTGCATTTAAATAAAAAAATTCTTTAAAATTATTAAAACAAAGTGAAAGGGATGATCATTGGGCACTCGCCAAAACATATCTCTATAAACAAACAAACAATATATCCCTATGAAACAAACAAATCAACAATATATGCCGAGAAGCTCTATATATGTTGTCTTCATTAGTGGACATTTGTTGGTTGTGCAGAAAATTTCATTTTGTCATTTTTTTCAGGTTTTTATATAAAGGAAAATGTGTACACTCGTACTGAGGGCAGCAAGCAACAATAATTTTCACCATAACCTGATGGTATAAAATCAAACGAGAAATCACTCGCAACGCCACCCGCCTTGCGCAGTGTGACTGGCCACATGGACCCGCACATGATTGTGATGAGCGGGATGTAAGGCATCCCATGGGTAGCGCACTAAGCCCTGTTACGCATTACCCTTCTTGAAAGGAGTTCTTTTATTTGCGGAATATAGACTCTTACCAATGAGTTACACCCGTAAGATTGAGCCCGTAAGTCAAGCATTATTGGTATACTGTACTACCTCCGTTTCTTTTTACTCCAAATATAAGATTTGCCTTAAGTCAAAGTTCGTAAATTTTGCCTAAGTTTATATTAAAATATATCAACATCTACAATACAAAAGATATACAATATGAAAATTAATTCATTGATGCATCTAATAATATTGATTTTATATTATAAATATTGATATATTTTTTCTACAATTTTGGTCAAACTTTATAAAGTTTGACTTAACACAAAACTTAAATGCAAAGTAAAAAGAAACAGTGGGAGTATTAAACAAGGCTCAAAGATAAAAATGCAACCGTTCTGACTAACCCCAACCCTCTTAAATACGGTGCCACTGGCAATCTGTCATATCAAATGAAAGTGCTTTATGTGACGTTTGGGCAATATCCCAATGATAGCTCTCGCTGATTATCAAATTTCAGAAGCACACATGAGTTGCCCGACTTGGTAGGTTGTTGCAGAATTGATTAAGCAAGTATAGTACCACGGAGTACGGACAACTACCATAGAAGACCGTTCGAACAATTCAGCACAAAAACATACTGCAACGCCCTTGAGGATGGTACTGAAATTGGCACAGCTAGAAACAGAGTTGTACAAAGGTGCAGCTAGTACCTACCAGTTTCAAGGACTAACAGCACGATCAAATTCAAATGTGAGATTTTAGACTGATTCATAGCTTGCAATGTCAGGCAACAACAACCAAAGAAAGCTATGTCAGCCGCCCCAGCTCAATGGTAACTTGTGTACAATCAAGTCGTAACTCGCAAGAAAGAAATCCATCTCATGAGTCTTGAGAGGCAAGCAATGGATCACATCGCAAATTCGCAATCATAACCATCCACGAAAAAAAACTACACCTTTCAATTCCATGTATATCCAAGAACATAGAAAATTAATTAAACATAAGGAAGAGCATGCATCAGAAGAGTGATTGCTAGAAGTATCTTACCGTCCTGCGTGACGAGAGGATAGTCCCAGGAGCTGAGCGTGACGAACCAGTCCCAGTCAGCCCCAATCCTGAGCAGCACGGCGGCGCCGTGCAGCGCCGCGGCGAGCACCGAGGAGCCCGTCCTGTCTACCGCGTAGCTCTCCCCTACCACGTCGACGTTTGAGAACTCCCTCCACGCCGCCTCGTCCCGCGCAGCGGCGGCCAGCTCCGTCCGCTCGTCCCGCGACGCCCCCGCGTCCAGGTGCAGCAGGTACCGGTTCCTCGGGTGATACACCGCCCTGAGCAGCCTGAGGACCCTGCGGCCCTCTCCGCCCGTGCCGGATATCCAGTACGCGAAGGAGGGCGGGCTCCCGGGACCCCTCGCCACGAGCGGCGGCCCTGGCTGGACGCCCGCGCGGGGGTAGGCGAGCCCGTACGGGGAGGCGCGGAAGAGCACCAGCAGCGCAGCCGCGGCCAGCGCGGCGGCCGCGATGGCCGGGGGCAAGCGGCACGACCCCATTGCACCGAGTTTCATGTTTTGGGAGGTTTGACCCGCGCGGCCGGCGGCATGAGGCGTACGGAACTGGAAGCGCGGTAATGAGTGGTAAGGTGAGACCGTGCGCGTTACGGCGGCGGCGAGGTGGCCGTCGTCGACTAGTGCGTGGTTTTGGAATTGGATGCTTGGACTGAGAGACGGGGACAGGAGGAGAGAGTTTAAAAAAGTTAGGCGGCACGGCACGGGCGCAAGGTGGCGTCGTGGGCCGAAAGGTCTAGAGGAAGGTGCGGTGCGGTGGCCGAAAGGTCTAGAGGAAGGTGCGGTGCGGTGGTGGGATGTTACCGGTTGGCATTTAGTTGTGGTGGGGCCTGTTGGAGTTGTGTCGAATATAATGTATAAAGTAGGTTACGGTTGGACTTATAGTTGTATTGTGTTTATATAGAATGTGGAGTCGTGTTCTACTAGGATATTTGCATACTAGACCTCTCATATATAGCGGAGGTAGACACACGATGTAACCTATGCCAACATAATAGCATAGGCGCGCAAGGGAGCCGGCGGCATGTGCCAGCGCCCGGGTGGCCGGTGTGCGGTATTGTGACGGTATCATGGGAAGGAGCGTCCATAGTCAAGCTCCGGAGATGCAGCCATATCGATGAACCTCGTTAACAAATCTCGGTGTCGTGCTCGTGTGTTTGCTTGGTTCTCGGATGATCGATGATATGCCTCGGATTTACTCTAACAAGTGGTATGAGAGCTGGTTGATCGAAGGCCAGTTGTATTGATCTAGAGGATGAAGAAGCAGTCCCGTTATGGATGCGTCGGCGGTGGCTTGTATGCGCGTACAGCGGCACGCGCGCGGGAATGTGCAGCGATCGATCGGATGGATGGATCGGGCGAGCATCAAGCGGCGCGTACGTGCTGATGGGATCGCTGGCGGCTGGTGCGTGCAACAGTGGGAGCCTAGGTGTGGCCCATGGCGGTGCGACCCATATGGCTGCAGCAGGGGGCAAATCCGAAGCTAGCGAGAAGCGCGTCTCGCGCAGGTGATGCTCAAGAGCAGGCTGGAGGACTCGTGACGTGTGCGTACAGAAGCTGGACGCGAGATTTGTTTAGAAAAAAGGGACCGAGTCAGGAGAGGAGTTATCCTAGTGGCCGAGACGGCGGACGTGCAACATCAAGGCAGAAAAGCATCCATCGTTGGAAGGCAAAGACTTGGGCAAGCAAAGCTAGCATCTGAAGTTGTGCAAGGGAGCAACTCCATGTGAAGACCAGAAGCTATCCTGTTGGATTTACAACTAGTATACTTGGTGTACTTGGGGATCACGGAAAGAGTGCTCGGCATTTTTTCACAGGTCCGCTGTACAAAGAATCATGGAGCCAACGGTACCAAGTTTGAGGTGAAGATGTTCGATAGAACTGAAAACTTTGAGTTATGGCAGACAAAGGTGAAAACTTTGTTGGCACAGCAAGAATGCTTGAAGGCGTTGCGGGGTGTCAAGCCAGACGGACGATGAGGATTGTGAGGAGTTGCAGATGGTTGCAGTCTGGAAAGTTCGGTTGGATCAGACTTGCCAGTCAGGCGGATCGACGCAGGTCGGTTGGTAGAGAAGACGGTGGTGGGGTCGACGACGACATAGGTGTGTGCTGCTGATGGTCACCGACTTCTTGGCGTGGCAACACGCGGCGCAGGCCTGAGGGCTTGTGTGGCTTCGACAAGACTATGGCGCGGGGTTGATTCAAGATGGCATACACATGAGAGTTTGAAGTCGACGCGACGCGGGGGTGGACTGATCCTCTATCATGGAGTCATGTTGAAGGTGGAGCTGATTGAGGGGCTACGGCGTAAGAGCTCAGAGAGTCGAAGCCTATTCAGCGGGGAAAAGCGAGGGACACGTAATTCGGACTGGAGCCTGGTGGTCTGATGGAAGTGTAAAACTCGTCATCGGTCGGTGATGATCGGTGGTACTCTGTAGTGGGGGTTGAGTGGTGTGGGTCCGTGACCCTTGAGACTCGACCGGGACAGCGGAGACTCGACGTGGTAATAGCAGCGAGGCGTGCGGTACGCACGGACATGGAGACGGGCCAGGGCTCTGGTGGTCATACATGTGGTGAGACAACTGCGAATTTGACTCGGGATGACTAAAAGCAATGGTGAAATTCCTTCAAGTTTCAGACAGGCGGTCAAGAAAGGAGCGGTGATATTGAGTTCAGGTAACTCTTATGTGTGACACCCAATATGTGAGTTGTTCAATTTCACGCAGGTCAGTGATCAGTGTGTGATGGCGTTGGACTGATACTCTGGAAGTTGGGGGTGCAAACTAGAGTAATGTGGAACTTAATTTTGCTCGAGTGTTGACTGTGGTCAAGAAAAGAAGGGACTACAAGTTGCAGGTGGAGTCATATGGAGTCTTTGGAGTAGCAGCGGTGCTCATGGGATAAGTTCAAGTCCAATGTACATGGAAGTTTGACGCATGGACAAATATAGGATGGTGGATTATATTCACCAAGGTGGAGTTTGTTGGAGTTGTGTCGAATATAGTGTACAAGATAGGTTACAGTTGAACTTGTAGTTGTATTGTGTTTACATAGAATGTGGAGTCGTGTCCTAGTAGGACACTTGTATCCTAGGCCTCTCATATATAGCGGGGGTAGACACACGATGTAACCTATGCCAACATAATAGCACAGGCGCGCAAGGGGGAGCCGGCGGCGTGTGCCGGCGCCCGGGTGGCCGGTGTGCGGTATCGTGACGGTGTCATGGGGAGGAGCGCCCATAGTCAGGCCCCGGAGATGTAGCATATCGGTGAACCTCATTAACAAATCTCGGTGTCGTGCTCGTGTGATTGCTTGGTCCTCAGATGATCGACGGTATGCCTCGGATTTATTCTAACAGGGCCGCGGAGGTGTTTAAATGGGCGCGGCGGACGGACGGGACGACGTTCGGTTCAAAAGCAACACAAACGCCTATGACCAAACCAACACAAAAACCAACCTGGGTTTTGGCCGTCATGTTTGTTAAAGCATCTCCAGCCGTTGAGCCCCTCAGGAGGCATTTTTTTCACCGCTTGGGGGCTGCCGGCGAGAATTTTGGCCTTGGGAGGCAAAATATTTCACTCGTATTGCACCCCAGCAGTGTTGGCGAGAAGGACGAGCGGGTGCTGGTGATCAGCAGCGAGCGGACGGGGAAGGAGAATCATGATGGCCAGGCAGGGCGGAGCAGGCGGCCACAGGCAGGGCGGAGCAGGCGGCCACAGGCGGGGTGGACCCGGCGGCCGGGAGGCCGACGAGCAGCCGCCCTGTGCGAAGCCGGCAGGCGGCCTGACCTGGCGGAGCCGGCGCGGGCGGGGACTGTTGGGGAACGCAGTATTTTAAATTTTTTTACCTACAATCACGCAAGATCTATCTAGGAGATGCATAGCAATGAGAGGGGAGAGTGTGTCTAAGTACCCTCGTAGACCGAAAGCGGAAGCGTTTACTAACGCGGTTGATGTAGTCGAACGTCTTCGCGATCCAACCAATCCAAATACCGAACGTACGGCACCTCCGCGTTCAGCACACGTTTAGTTCGATGACATCCCTTGGGCTCTTGATCCAGTTGAGGCCGAAGGAGAGTTCCATCAGCACGACGACATGACGATGGTGATGATAAAGTTACCGGCGCAGGGCTTCGCCTAAGCACTACGACAATATGACCGAGGTGTGTAACTGTGGAGGGGGGCACTGCACATGGCTAAGACAAATCTTGGAGTTTCTTTGGGGTGCCTCTACCCACGTATATAAAGGAGGGAGGAGTAGGAGGCCGGCCTAGAAGGGGCGCGCCTATATGGGGAGTCCAACTAGGATTCCCAATGCTAGTTGGAGTCCCCTTCCTTTTTCAAGAGGGGAGAGAGGGAAGGAGTAGGAGAGGGAGAAGGAAAGAGAGGGGGGCGCCCCCCTCCCTAGTCCAATTCGGACTTGCCATAGGGGGGCACGGCCAACCCTTGAGGCCCTTCTCTCCTTTCCCGTATGTCCCATTAATGCTCACTACTTCCCTCGGTGAATTCCCGTAACTCTCCGTTACTCCGAAAAATACCCGAATCATTAGGAACCTTTCCGATGTCCGAATATAGCCTTCCAATATATCAATCTTTACGTCTTGACCATTTCGAGACTCCTCGTCATGTCCGTGATCTAATCCAGAACTCCGAACAACCTTCGGTACATCAAATCACATAACTCATAATACAAATCGTCATTGAACATTAAGCGTGCAGACCCTACGGGTTCGAGAACTATGTAGACATGACCGAGACACATCTCCGGTCAATAACTAATAGCGGAACCTGGATGCTCATATTGTCTCCTACATATTCTACGAAGATCTTTATCGGTCAAACCGCATAACAACATACGTTGTTCCCTTTGTCATCGGTATGTTACTTGCCCAAGATTCGATCGTCGGTATCATCATACCTAGTTCAATCTCGTTACTGGCAAGTCTCTTTACTCGTTCTGTAATGCATCATCCCATAACTAACTCATTAGTCACATTGCTTGCAAGGCTTATAGTGATGTGCATTACCGAGAGGTCCTAGAGATACCTCTCCGACAATCAGAGTGACAAATCCTAATCTCGATCTATGCCAACTCAACAAACACCATCGGAGACACCTGTAGAGCATATTTATAATCACCCAGTTACTTGTGACGTTTGATAGCACACAAGGTGTTCCTCCGGTATTCGGGAATTGCATAATCTCATAGTCAGAGGAACATGTATAAGTCATGATGAAAGCAATAGCAATAAAACTAAACGATCATTTATGCTAAGTTAACGGATGGGTCTTGTCTATCACATCATTCTCTAATGATGTGATCCCGTTCATTAAATGACAACACATGTATGTGGTCAGGAAACTTAACCATCTTTGATTAACGAGATAGTCAAGTAGAGGCATACTAGGAACACTCTGTTTTGTCTATGTATTCACACATGTACTAAGTTTTCGGTTAATACAATTCTAGCATGAATAATAAACATTTATCATGATATAAGG